AAAGTATTTAAAAATCAACATTCCTGTTCAACACAAAAATGTTTGTCCAGAAAACTCAGTTACACATGCAGACATAACATTTTAGCGAATATTGTTGACACAACATCTATTTTATTTGTAGATCAATATTTATTCACAATTCTTAGTACATATGACAGAAAAAGTACAGTGTGCTGAACAAATGCTGATTTTATTTTTTACAGTGTAGAATAAATAAAACTGTCTCCAGAAGAAACTATATTATAGGAAATAATGTGAAAATTTTCTTGATCCATTAAAAAAGATATCTACACTGCAAAAAAATGCTTGTTTAGATTTTTTGTCTTGTTTTCAGTCTAAATATCTAAAATTTCTTATATCAAGAAGAATTTTCTACACAAGCACAACATATTGTCTTGTTTTGAGAAATAATATGCCATTATTAAGTGAGTTTTTTCCTTAAAACAAGCTAAATAATCTGCCAATGGGGTAAGCAAATAAATCTTGTTTTTTCTTTTGACGTAAGATTATTTTGCTTACGCCATTGGCAGATTATTTTGCTTGTTTTAAGGAAAAAACTCACTTAATAATGGCATATTATTTCTCAAAACAAGACAATATGTTGTGCTAGTGTAAAAAAAATCTTCTCGATTTAGGAATTTTTAGATATTTGGACTAGAAACAAGACAAAAAATCTAAGTAAGAAAAGCATTTTTTGCAGTGTAAAAATTTCACAGGAGGGCTAATCATTTAGCCTTCAACTCTACATAACATTTGTGGCTTGCCAAGTTTTGATTTCAGACCAGATTATACAGCTCTCTGCTATGAGGTAAAAACCATCATAAATATTCAAACTGAACATTTATGAACATGTGCATTAGGTGTGTGTGAGTGTTTTGGCTGTGTTTGTGTCAATGTGCGAGTGCCCTGTAAAAGCACAGGCAGGCGGTGTGGGTGGGCAAACACATGCGGCTGGTAGGATTAGGAAGTGGTGAGCCACATCTTTTTATTACAGAAATGTCTCTTTAATATCTCTCCCTCGCACCAGGCTGTCGCCTCCCAGACTTGCTTACTTGGTCGTCTCCCCGAAAAGACTCTCAACCCCGAGTCTTTTATAATTAGCGTCAAACCCGACACCAGATCTGTTTTACACACAAACCTCAGGATTTTTTCAGCCTGACCGGAGCGGACACACGCTGCAATAAAGTGTTGTGCGGTTCTCCAAGGCCAGAGCACACCTTTCATTAAACATCACCTGACGCTCATTTAAACGCATGTCGTCATGTGAAGTGGTCGCTTCATTAGATCTCTCTTTTAGTCAGGATACCACTTCCCTTATCATAGCTTTCCAATTAGGTCATTTTGGTATACATTTATTGTGAAGTCCTCAGAAGTATCTTAGACTGGGATATCAGAGATCTGCTTACTACAATTTGAAAACATGCCACGTAATATAAATCTGAATATACCTAGGCTCAATTGAATAATAGCACTTGGAAATGACATACCTGATGATCCTAAAGCACCATTGTTTCCTCATTCTCATGTGAATCCTTCGAATGTTAAGCCGATGGGGTATATGCACAACTAGTGTTTTTAAGCCAACTTCCAGTGAAAGGTGTATGTGAGTATTTTAAATTTTATAGAGTTAATTTTGTAGCATTGATGTTGTAATGTAATTAGAATACAACCAGTTAAATAGACTTAAGAATTAATTTAGGTATTCAAGCAGAAAATGAGATGAAGTCTGTGTAAACGCTAGCGCCACCAGCAGCAGCAAGCTAGTGCAGAAACTCCATTGGGTGAGGTCCATTACTCGGGTAAAATACATTTCCATATTTTAAAGTCAAAAATAGAATTCAATGCTGTGCCTTTTGCCCGGTCTGATACCCACCTTATATCGAATGATATAATGAAATGAAAAAAACAGATCTTAAACATGGCGATTTTGTAACGCTTGGGCACCAGAATCGCTTGGGCTGGCTGATCCAGTTGGCCAAATGTCGCCATTTTGTTCGCACATCATCACACAGACCGGATACCAAACAAAGAAAAGGAGGTGGAGTGTGAGTGGAGCTACAGCTTGCTAGCATTTTGCTTAGACGGGCTTTTCTTTGGAAGAAACGCTTGATACTTAAGTACCTGCGACTCGTTTATGTTCTGACTACATATGCTTGGTTATACACTATATCAATAAAGTGTTTATTCTTTTAAAAACACTGTTGTAATACACAGAGCCACTAAGCATTGTTCTTATGGCACAGGAGGAAAGCACGAATCACTTCCAAATACTTCAGATATAGTCTGTGTTGGTAAATGCAAGGCTATTAATGAAATCTAGGCATAATACTGTTTGACAATGCTTCAGATGACTGTTCTAGAGCTTACAGCTAATCAACCTGTCAGATTCTGGAGTGCATTACAGGTCTAAAGAAAATTATAAATGATAAATTATCTTAAATAAAACATATGCATTTATAGAGATGGTATATAGGTATGTAAGAATCGCACTCACCTGGTAAACAGAGGCAACTTGAATTGTTTGTGAGCACAATTAAATGCGCACAGCATGCCATATTATCTGATAGTTGTAGAAAATAATTCCAAAAGGCAGATGACTGTGTAAAACAACATAAAACAAAACCCAAATACAATATACAGTTGAAGTCAGAATTATTAGCCCCCCTGACTTATTAGCGTCCCTGTTTATTTTTTTCCCCAATTTCTGTTTAATGAAGGGAAGATTATTTCAGCACATTTCTAAGCATAATAATTTTAGAAACCTATTTCTAATAACTGATTTATTTAATCTTTGACATGATGACAGTAAATAATATTTTACTTGATATTTTTCAAGACACTTCTATACAGCTTAAAGTGACATTTAAAGGCTTAACTAGGTTAATAAGGTGAACTAGGTAGGTTAGGGTAATTAGGCAAGTAATTGTATAACGATGGCTTGTTCTGTAGACTATCGAAAAAAAAAATAGCTTAAAGGGCGTAATAATTTTGTCCCAAAAATGTTTTTTTTTTAATTAATAACTGCTTTTATTCTAGCCGAAATAAAACAAATAAGACTTTCTCCAGAAGACAGAATATTATCAGACATACTGTGACAATTTCCTTGCTCTGTTAAACATCATTTGGGAAATATTAAAAAAAGAAAAAAAAAATCAAAAGGGGGCTAATAATTCTGACTTCAACTGTATATGCTGAGCTACAGATTTGATATAACTTGATAAAAACGAAACGGACGAGTTCTAAAAAAAATCCTCCACCTCACAGTTGTCATGAAGGATATTATTAGCTATACTGTATGAACCAAAACCATCTTTTGTACCAGGCTGTAAACATGTTTTGATAAGCTGTCAAATTTGCCAATTTAGCATTTCAGTCAGTGAACATCTAAACTTCCTGGATCCAGCCCCTAAGGGCAGGTTGACGAATTGCAGCTTCAGTTACTTCCATATTGGCTTCACGAGGCAGAGCGTGAGGTTGCTGCTTGGTTTGTACAGCATGTAGAGCTCTGGGCGATAACATTCGTTATTAGAAGATAACATTATCCTACATTATACCTTTTCAATGTGTTTTTAAGGTACTAGGTAAGGTAAATAAAGGTGTAGGTTATACAGTGTGTTGTTAATTGCAGAGCTCCTCTATTTAAAAAAAGAAAGAAAAAAAAAACCTTCCGAAAGAGTTCTTAAAGAGATCAAGTCTCAGCCTGGTAAGAAAGAGTAACGCAAAAGCAAGGTAACACATTATTTACCATAGAAAGTAACTGAGTAATGCATCTAGTTACTTTTCAGGAGAGAACTTAATATTGTAATGCAATACTTTTCAGAGTAACTTTCCCCAACAATACGATGCACACAGGCTTTGTACACCCCAGGCTGCGTTTGATTGGCCATAACGTTTCCAGTGAAATTACAACAATCATAACTTTTTCCCTTATTTTTAAGTTTATCTAAGCTTGTATTCCGGCAGGACCTGGGTAACATTGGGCAGCAGACACAGAGATCTTACCACATCTTACTCAGAATGCTACATATGTGAAATGGATTATACATTTATTAGGTGCCCCCCTGAAGGTCTGTTTATCTTTTGTTAGCTAGCTATTTATTTCCTGCTAATTGGATCCTGAGCCTGTCACTCTTCATTATGGCGTTTCATCATGGATTAATCAGGCTTCGTTCTGCGGACTTTAAATTTGACTGGCATGCCTTGTTTGTCAGTGCTGTGTGTGTGGGTTTGTGCTGTGTGCGTTCGTTTCTGTTTCTGTATTATGATTTGTACCGTGTCGCTGAACTAATCAGAGCAAGTGTAAATTAAATATGATTTAAGAGTTCACCTTTTTGGTGAAAAATGAATAGGTTAACAAGTCACGCGACATACTGTACATTTTGCCCGTAATTATTTGAAATGATCAGAAACACTAGATAAGTGGGTAAGCGCTGCTTTTTGTATTTTTGTTTATTATTTTAGGGAGTGTACATTACTGGCATCTCATAAGCTGAAGATTTCGGTTTCTTTTTCACATTTGTATTTTCTTTAGTAAGTTTAGAGGGGGATCTTGTGTTCTAGTTTATGTGGCTGTTGGTTTTGTGTAGTTCTTTGCTTTGGCGCCACTCTAGTTCCTCCTGTAACTTTTGGTTCGATTATATTTCTGTGATTGCTTCTATTTATTTTAAAATGCACTCTACAAAACTCATATACATGCCTTTGCTTTGTTTGCTTTATCATTTTTCCTTATAGAGGAATAAACAAATTAAGTGTTAAGACTGTGTGTCCTTGCTTTTTCCATCCATTTCCTACAGTAATAATATAATATTCTAAATGTTACATTTTCTCCCCCAGACACCTTTTAAAACATCTATATTGTGAAATATTGTGAAAATTTTAAAGGTCCTGCAGATATATATTCTGGGGACATCCGAGACCTATATTCTATTAAATGGAGTAAGTTTTAACGAGAATTAAGGATTAAAAGAGTTTTAAAGTGGTGTTGTGTTTAAGGTCTTCACCTGGCAGTGATAGATGTACTCTGGCGTGGTCTTCTTGAACTTCATATTCCACACCAAAGCCACTCCGTCCGGCTCATGAGGAGCGTCTTCATTGTTGTTATATGAGGCCACCAGGAGCTCTGGATACTGCCAACATCAAGAGCAGGCGGAGAGATGACAGAGAACAGAGGAGAGGATGAGGAGGAGGATAAAGCATGAGGAGATGAGCAGGTGTTGACACACACTGATACACACACACAAGCACACATACATTTATGCATGCACACACACAGGTCAGTGTACCTGAGGTGACCAGTCCAGACAGGTGATGACCCGATGTTTTGACCAGTGCTCATCATAGAAAAGACGACTGAGAGACAGACTCGAGCCGCCCTGCATGTCTCTGAGACAGGAGAGAAGAAACTCTGCTTCACCCTGGGTTTTTCATACAGTTTTCACCACAGAAAAGAGTCATTTCAAATATACAACTGCAGGACTAAAAATTTTTAGGAGTTAAAAATTCTGCATGTAACAACCCTTTCACAAGTTTGTGGTGGTTTATAAATGGTTTATAAAATGTATGTCAACGCTAAAATACCAATTATTATTTTTATGTAAGAAAAACAACCATAAATTTTATTGATCTATTATTGTTCAGTTTTTACTGAAAAATATGCATTTATATAGCCAGACAGGAATATTTATGGCTTGTAATTATTGACTGGTTAAATGTTAGTTTTAGCCGCAGTAAAGATATAATTCCATATGTTTAAGTGCATAAATCAGTACAGTTAAATTGATGGATAAAATATTACATAAATGTAAAATAAGGAGAAATGCCCATAAAAATAACTGTGTTTGTAATAGCAAAACAGAACAGAATAATGAGAGGTTGCTATGGATGACATCATTCTGCAAGAATTGCTTTGAAGAACAATTGATACACAAACACACGTTTTCCCACCTAAATTATATTTTCTAACATTTAATCTCATAATA